GTGGTAGTGGTAGTGGTAGTGGTAGTGGTAGTGGTAGTGGTAGTGGTAGTGTAGTGGTAGTGGTAGTGGTAGTGGTAGTGGTAGTGGTAGTGGTAGTGGTAGTGGTAGTGGTAGTGGTAGTGGTTGTGGTAGTGGCAGCAGCAGCAGCAGCAGCAGCAGCAGCAACAGGAGTAGTAGTAGTAGTAGTAGTAGTAGTAGTAGTAGTAGTAGTAGTAGTAGTAGTAGTAGTAGTATCAGTGTCGGTGGTACCAATAGTAGTCGGACTTGCAATTGTAATCGTGACGGTAGTGGTAGTCGTCGTCATTAGTCGTAGTCGTCGTAATCGTCGTAGCAGTAGCAGTAGCAGTAGCAGCAGCAGCAGTAGCAGTAGTCGTAGTCGTAGTCGCAGTCGTATTGTTCTTATTTCTATGGTCATTGCTGTTTTTCCACAGACAGTGCTTGCACTTAGAGGTTCCTTCTTCCCTTCTTCAGAATTGTGCCCGTCTGTCGGGCCGGCGGCCCCGTTCCGGTCCGTCACCGGTCTGCTGTTCCGGATCAGAGGCCCGGCCGTTGGCCCAGCGGCCCCGTTCCCGTCCGTCGCCGCTGCCCCGCTGCCCCCCTCCATCCCCCCGTTCGCATCGCCAGCTTCGCATTTCTTGGCGTTGGTTTGCGTTGCTCTGCACTGCTCTGCACTGCTTTGCGTTACTTTGCATGGTCTTGTTTTGCGTTGCATTGCTCTGCGTTGCATTGCTTTGCATTGCTTTGCATCGCTTTGCATCGCTTTGCATCGTTTTGCATCGCATTGCATTGCTTTTCATTGCTCTGCTTTGCTTAACAGTGCTTCTCATTGCTTTACATTGCTTCTCATTGCTCAGCATTGCTTTTCATTGCTTTGCGTTGCTCTGCGCTGCTTCACTTCGTACTGATTTGCATTGGTTTGAATTGCTCTGCATTGCTTTGCATCGCAGAGATTGCACTACCCAGATTGCGTCGCATGTATTGCAATGACTCACTGATTGGGGTCTAGGGAGGCTAGCATTATGGTTCGTATCGTTATTATCAATATTATTGCGACTTGCCTGATTATCATCGTAACTACCATGCGCAACCGTATCAAGTGCACAGCAATAATCATTATTATCAGTTGTAGTATTATCATTTTCATTTTCCTATGGTTATCATAGTAATTCTTATTTTCATCATATAAGTCTTACTATTATTGCTGCTATGTTATCGGTTGTAGTAGTATGTATAGTTTCTGCTCACCATGATGATTATCCCTGTTCGTAGTAGTATCAGTATGGCTGTGTTGTTGTTGTTGTTGCTGTTTTTTTTTTGTATTTCCATTTTTTGAATTAGCATCACAATTATTATTATTCGTGTTATTGTTGCCATTATTACTAGTCGTATTATTAGTGTCATGCGTAGTATTGTTATTATTATCAATATTATTATTATTTCTTCTTCTTCTTCTTTTTCTCATTATTATTGTCTATCCTTATTCTATTAGTATCATTAGTAGTTTGATTAGTATCATAACACCATTATCCAGTATTACTAATAGGTTCAAATATTATGTCTATACTTTTTGATATACTTATTAGGTTCACAATTCGTACTACACGTAGTTGTTGCTGTCTGAGTAGGAGTATGAGTAGGAGTACGAGTCGGAGTCAGATTAGGAGGAGGAGGAGGAGGAGGAGAAAAGGAGGATGGACAAGGAGGAGGAGGACGAGAAGTTGGATCAGGAGGAGGGGCTGGAGGAGTAGGGGGAGGAGAGGTTCGATGACCGGAGATCGAATTGTTCGGGCATTCGTGGCATCCCTCAGCCACCTTGTGGTGCTGAGTGCTCGTTTCCAATCCACGGCCCCCCCGCGTCTCGCTCCCACCTTCCTCTCCCTCTCCTCCTCCTCCTCCTTCTCCTCCTCCTCCTCCTCCTCCTCCTCGTCGTCCCCCTCCTCCTCCTCCTCCTCCACCTCCTCCTCCTCGTCGTCCCCCTCCTCCTCCACCTCCTCCTCCTCCTCCTCCTCCTCCTCCTCCTCATTCAGTCGGAAAACTTACGTTCAGAACGCCAGGGTGACCCTGGCGTTCCATCTTCCCCACGTTTATGCAGGATGTCTTCGGAAAACTTACCGTCAAAACGCCTCCATCCAGGAGAAGATGGAGATCCACTTGCTGCTGAGGGGCACCAGTATCCTCGGCCAACGTCCATGGACTTCATGGATCGAGTATACCATCTCACTGACAAGTTGGCGATGCGTGCGCAAGCTAGAGCAGTGGGAAAAATGTCAGCAGAAGTTTTTGTCATGGGTCAGAAGCACTTGGATGAACCAGCCTGGTCGATTGCACAAGCATGGTAAAGACAAACCAGTCGACACTACCGAGATACAAGGGATTGCTGACCCCACTGTCATCATGCACGCCAGGCAGCAGTACTGGCAGAAGATCTGGACGGACCAGGTCGACACCATGGACGACATCATGCACGGCTTGACGGAGTGCCATCAGCAGGCGCTAGAGGAGGACCTCCCCTCCATCACCCTTCAAGACCTCGACGTCGCGCTTCCAAAGATGTCGGCGAAGAAAGCAAAGGGAGTAGATAATGTAAGCGTCAATGACGTGGCCAAGCTTCCAGTTGTGGGCAGACAGAAGTTCGCCGACTTTCTGAATGATGTGGAAAGAGCGGGCACGTGGCCACGGCAAATACATGCGACAATTGGATCGTTGGCAGCCAAACCGAGAGGAGGAGACCGAGTGCTGGGGCTCTTACCGACGACGGGCAAAATATGGAGCCAAGCTAGAACGGGGCCTGCTTCTGAATGGTCTCAAAGTCTAAGCGCGTTCTGGGCTACTGCACTCCAGGGCTCCTCTGTCCTGCGGGCAGCCATAGTTCGTTCCCTCATGGATGAGGTCGGCTTTGTCAACGGCAAGCACTTTGTCACCTTGCTTTTGGATCTGGAACAGTTTTACGACAGTGTACCGTTGTGCAGATTTATGGCCATGGCAGTGAATGTCGGACATCCAGCTATCATAGCCATGTTAGAAGTTGAAATGTGCATCGCTCCGCGTTTTCTCAAGCTAAAGGATTGGGTCAGTGATATTGTATACGTCTCTCGCTCGCTTGTGGCAGGCAGCCCCCAAAGGAGTCCAGCTTGCGAAGGTATTTCTGCATCCCATATTGGAAAAGGTACACAAAGTGGCTCCTGAGCCGATGTTGGCAACTTGCATAGACGACACGGTTGCGAGAGCTGAAGATGATGATCCACAGCGGGTTCTTCGCATCATGGCCAAGACAGGCAAGGAGTTCAAGGAAGCGTTTGAGGAAGCAAGATTAGTGGTCTCAGACAAGACGGATCTCATCGCGTCGTCGAAGAAGCTGGGTCAGCAGTGTGCTCGAGAGCTCCGTGGCATGGGCATCCCTGTCAGTTATAAGGTATCGGCTACGAACTTAGGCATAGATGCCAGTGCGGGCAGATCCAGAGTTTGCAATAAGGCGAATCAGAGGAAGAGAGCCGCTGATCGACGACAGGCACGAGTACTCCGACTACGACACCTGGGGCCGAAGGTCAGGACGGTATGTAAGAGTTTGTGGGCCGCGGGTGTTTAACCCCAAGGTATGTATGGGCATCAGGTCTTTGGCTCCCCTCCCAGTCGTCTCCTCCACGTTAGACGACAAGCAAGTTCGGCGGTTGCGGGCGCAAAAAGGGGAATATGCTTAACGTCGGTCCTCGAGGCTACCATGGGCAGCAAGGATCCAGGTTTGGAGTTGCCCAAGCAGCTGGCATGGGAATGGCTCACTGTGTGGTTCAGCAGGCCCGGTATACATCAGCAAGTCAAAAGATCATGGACGGCCATTCTACATCATATTCAGGTTGCTGGCAAAGTTCGTTGGCGACGTGTGCGAGGGCCAGTCTCGGCGGTCATCGCCGCTCTGATTGAAGGTGGGTGGAAATGTCCATCGCCGCAGATCTGGTCGCATACTGAAGGAGATGGTGAAGTTGAATGGCGCTTCCCCGAGGCTACCTCTCCAGATTTCTCTCAGGTGGGTATTGAAGAAATTGTTGATGAGTTTGTTCAGGGCCTTCGTCGTTTGCAGTGGGCCAAGGCATCCAAGTTCGAAGGTGCTGATGATCTTCAATATGGCGCGGATATGTCTCACATTTCCAGAGAGCCCCGCAAGTTCGAGCGCAATGCGGATTTTGAGAATTCGGGTCTGAATATTTCTACGATATCAGGTGGCCAGTGGACGCGAGAACGTCAACGAGCACAAGGCTATTCGACGTCGGTGGTATGCAGGCGCTGCGCGTTGCAAGCGCCTGAGACTTTGCTCCGCAGGATCTGGCAGTGCCCTGCCAACTGTGGAGATGCAGCGTTCGACAACAAATGATCATTTCATCGCCCGTGCCCTGGCTAATTATCAGATAGAGCCCAGTTTATGGCTTAGAGCCCCCCCCCCCCCCTGAAAAGCAAACGGTGCCCTCGTTTTTCGGAGGAGTTGTGTGCGTTGCCAAGGGTTGCTTCTCATGGGGGGGGCCCTGGGCCGCGGTGCGAGACCCATCCTCAGATATTCCAGTGACTGTGTTTGGGGGCGGTTCTGGAGGCCAGTTTTCGAGCGACCCTCGCTGACGGAGATGTGGTGCGGGGATAGCCATCCTGGACCCTTCACCTGATGCTCCCCTTCGAGTGGTCAGTAATCTGGGGAGCCTCTGCCCTCTTAATTGGCCCCGAACAGACCGTTCCCCGTGCCGAGCTGTTCGCGTTCCGTCTTGCGTTGGAGCTCGCGTCAGGCCCGCTGATTTACATGACGGATCACCTCCCGTTGCTTAGAGCTTGGGGGACTCGTCGCGGCTGGTGTGCGCCCAATAAGGAGACAAATCGAGATTTATGGATGAGGATTCGCACCGCTGTGTCCAGCCGTGGCTCTCTGATTCAAGTGTGTTGGACTGCCTCTCACCTTGAGGATGAGGTGGGAGGCATTCAGACTGCTCAGCAGGCGTTCTGGTCCAGTGGCAATGCGGCGGCGGACAGGTTTGCGTCTGATGCTGCCGCAAGAGGTTTTCAGTTAGCCACCGCAAAAGGTCAGCTGCCTCGCACTGACGAGGTGGATGTGACAGCCTGGCTGGTGCGGAGGCGTGCTCGTGCTGCGCTCAAGCTAGCGGCTGAGTGCGACCCGTGTGAGGGAGAGTGGGTTCCAGCCGCCCCTGCCCCCCGTGCTCGCATTTCACGCCGCAACCGTGCCCTCGCTTCGTCGTCCCACAGGTTCGTCCGAGCAGGTGCCAGATGGAGGTGCACGTGCTGCCTCGAGTTCACCAACGCGGTGGGCTTGGAGGCGGCCTGCGCTAGGCCGTGCGGCCCGCTGCCCTCCGCCTCCTCCTCTACCACGCCAAATTTTGCGGGCGTGCAGGTCCATCGGTTGGGGGGGGGGTTTGGGTGGGAGGGCGTTTCGTTCACGAGTCTCATCAGATGTGGACTTGGGAACAACAGTTTGTCAATTTCTGTATGCTTTGCGGGTTCTGCGGGACGGTGGACGGTCGACACCTGGAGAGACCGTTCTCCCCGAAAAGGTCCAAGAAAGGACAGCAGAACCTCGTTCATATTTCCAAAGGCCGACATCCTTACCCTCAAGGGGCGCCCAAGTCGGTCCCAGCACTGTAGTTTCTGTGTTCCTGGGCTACGAGCCACAGCAGGCTGAGGCATTGGCCTCGGCAGTGGACAGGGACAGGGTCCCCCTCGGTTACTCCTCGGTTACTCCTCCTCCTCCTCCTCTTATCTCTCCCTTTCCCCCTCCTCCTCCTCCTCCTCCTCCTCCTCCTCCTCCTCCTCCTCCTCCTCCTCCTCCTCCTCCCCTTCTGCTCTCTCCCTCTCCCCCTCGCCTCTCAACCCGCCCACGTCAGCACATCCCCCGCACGTCTCGCGGCCCCGCGCGGGGGAGCGCCGCCGCAGGGCCTCCGTGGCAGCCGGGCCGGCAGGGCGCACGAAGCGGCGCCGTGATTTGTGCGGCGCCCTCCCAGCACGCCCCGCGCCTGCTGTAAAACGACGCGAAGAGCGGGACAAATTCGGATCGGGATGACTGGAAATCTCTGAGAATCGGCGGGTTTGGAGGATGTATTGGGCGCCGCGGCCGCTCCAGAGCGTTCCGGAACGCTCTGAGAGCGCTCCGGAACGCTCTGGAGCGATTTATCCCGATCCTGGCCCTGTTTTATGCTGCGGGATGGCCAGGACGCCCCCTGCAAGGGGCTCTCGGCTTCCAGCAGGGCTCGAAGTCCTCCAACGCAGTCACCACCAAGGCGATCGCAAGCACGGATTCAGGGGGCGTGGATGAGCGACGGGTTCCGTTTCCATGGGACATCGCGGATTTCCGCCGCCGAGCGAGGCGGCGCCGGCCACATTTTGGGGAGGGCACCTCCCCCGATCCATGGATTTGGCGACCGCGCGCCAAATCCATGGATCGCTAATCCATGTTTGCGCGCGCCCGAGACGTCCTCCGACGCGGCCACCAGCGGGTCCAAATGGGACCTGCCTGTCTGTCTCCGTTCCACTTCCGCATGCCCCTCCCGCAGGGAGCGGCGAGGGGGGCGAGGTGGCGAGGGGAGGAACGGGGGAGGATCCATGGTGGAGTTTTTGTTGGGGGGGTTGTCTTGGCCTCCGGCGGCTTCCTGGAGGACTCCTGCAGAGGGGGCCTGCGGAGGCCTCCGGCGGCCTCCGGGGACCTTCCTTTCCGGGGTCCTCAGAGAACTCCGAAGACATTCGGAGATTCAAGCCTCGGGCTGACTGCGATCACCGTGTCGTCGGAAGGTGTTGTGGGATCCAGGTGCCTGCGGCAAGTTCCGCCACCGTGCCAGTTCAGCACTCTGGTGGGCGAAGTTTCGAGCACCGATGGCCTAACAGGTGACGTCCCTCGTGCCCACTTCTCGGGGAGCTCTCATGGAGCTTATTTTGGTTCACCTCTTGGCCGTCTCGGGGCCGCAGTCGGCCGACTGGGAGGTTTTCTTGTGGCTGTCTGGGCCGTCTGGGGCCATCTTGGGGCCGTCTTCGGCCGTCTTGGGTCGCTCTGGAGGCCCTCGTGGGCCAGCTTTGCGCTCTCTTGTGGCCGTCCTGGACCGTCTAGGGGTGCTGATTACAGAATCCCTTGCAGGGAGCCCCTGCCAATCTACCACGCCTCAACGTGCCAGGGGGTACGGAGGCGGACCAAGACGGTGTTCGGCGTGGAGGCCATTGCATCAGACGAGCCGATACGAGAGGCGGCGACCTTTGTGTTTAAACCTGATTCAGAGTAAGGCGCAGGGCTGGGTCGAGCACCTCTGAGTACGGCAGAGAGAGCGAGCGAGCGAGAGAGCGAGAAGGAATAGAGGGGCGGGGGAGTGCAGGATGGGTGAGGAGAAGTGGGGCACGGGGGAGAACGGGCGAGGGTTCGATGATCAAGCATCCCCTGCCACGCCCACCGATCCAGCTCGGGCTGGTGGGTGTGGTGTAAGGGTCCTCCCCGTCGCCGTGGCCTCAGCCGCGCCTCAGCAGAGTTCTTGCGCAGGATCTGCCGGTGCTGTGGAACGCCACGACGGAGCACATCGAGCCGCTTCACATCAAGGTGTTGACCTACAACCTGTACTGGTGGAACCTGTTCGAGAAGAACGGCGGCAGGCGGGGTGGCCTCTCGCAGCTTCTGCCTTGCCCGACTGCGCGGACACTCGCGCGTCAGCCCCCCCCCGCGCGAGGCCGTGCGCACGCGCCACGCTCGCCGCGCGGCGTGCCACGCCGGTGGGCCGCGCGGCACGCCGCGGCGTGGGGCCGCCATGCCTTCCCTCGCGAGGCCCGCTTCTCTCGCCGTCGTCGCTCGTCGGGTTGCCTTCCCCGTTGGGCGGGCGGCGGGCGGTCGGCGGTGCTGCCCTTCTCGTGCGGCGCCCTGGGCTCGCCGCAGGCGGCAGGGGCGGTCGGGCGGCAGCTCTCGCGCCCGCGGGCGCGCGGCGCCTCGCCTCGGGGGCCAGGCCCGCTGCCGCTCGGCCCTCGCCCGCCCGCGGCGTCTCGCAGGCCTCGGTTCTGCGGCTGAGTCGTGCCTGTCCCTCTTACTGAGAAGGCGAAAGCCCACCCCCACCCCCAGCCCCGACGCCCACCCCCGAGCCTGCGATTCCAAGGGGTCGGGACTGGGGGTGTGGGGGGGGGGCTTTCTCCATTCCTGGACCCCGAGACACCACCCCCACCCCCAGTCCCGACCCCCTGGATCGCGGGTTCGGAAATGGGGTCGGGACTAGGGGTGGGGGTGGGTCTTCGTCTTCTCATCTGCAGGAAAACTCAAGAGTAGTCAACACATAGTTCGGGGATCATATTCGGACCATGTTTGGCTCTTTTAGGACATTTTTTGGTGCATCTTTTATCTTTCGTCCAAAGTCCGCCTGTAGGGGGGCGCGCCCGACCTGATTCTGCTGCTGGGGAAGTGAGCGGCGGCAGAAGCATAGATTTTAACGGAGGCCTAGAGGCTGACACCAACATCAGTAGCAGCGGTGTGCTTCTACCGAGGGAGGATGTTCCCGATCTCGGTGGTGGAAGGATCACCACCAGCACCAAAGTCCAGGATCATCTTCCTCCCGTGGAGGCAACCCCTGGTGTTGGTGATGGTGCCCATGTCGAAGCTTCCAAATTTTGGAAGCTCCGCGCGGATCTCTTGCGTCGGCGTCCCCTCCCTGGCCGGAGGCGCCGCCAGGGGGGTCCATCTGGGGTGGGCAGAACCCCCACCTTGACACGTCGATGAATGAATTGCCCTTTTTCGGTTCTCGAGAAGGCGACGCGGCCGTCGATTTCCAGGCTTGCGCCCGCCAAGTTTTGCCCCGAGGTTGTTTTCACTAAACCACGTTTTGCTAATGGACTGGTCAAGTACAACGACGTGCTGCTCTTGTACCAGCAGATCTGAGAGACCCGGTGGCTTGGCAGTCCGCTGTCTGCCGCCATTGCCTGTAGAGTTGTGTCCGCGCGCCTCGGCGTCTGACTTTTGCGTTGCGTTGCGTTTCTGTGCATCCCCGAGTCCAGTGCCGATCCAAGAGAGCCGCGCTGACCGCGTTTCCTCTGCCCTGCCTTGTTCGAGTGGGTGTCGGCGCCGCCGGGGGTCGGCCAGCGCCCACCCACGAAAGCCGTGCGGGTTGACGAAACCTTCTGCTCATGCAGCCTTCTCTCCCGCTTGCTCGGGAAGCAAAGGTTCTCAAGTAGTGGCGAAGCGTCCTGGCTCGCCTGTAGGCCCACCAAGTAATGTTCTAGTAGCCTTTTTTGGGTGGTCTGCACGAAATGTTCTTATTACCTAACAGCGAAGACTGATAGGTTTCTAATGGGGTCAAAAGAGAGCATCTGATGACTCCCCAGGGGGGTCTGGGCGGGAGCCGCACAGGCGAAGGCTGGGCTCGTTTTAAGCAAACTCCACTCCCGGGCCACATTTTGAATGCCCGGAGCCAGCTGTAGGCCACTTCGTGCTTTTCGACTTCCCAGAACTCCATTCCCGGGCCACATTTTCGATGCCCGGAGCCAACTGTAGGCCACTTCGTGTTTTCGACTTCCCAGAACTCCGTTCCCGGGCCACATTTTGGATGCCCAGAGCCAACCGTAGGCCACTTCGTGCTCTTGGACTTCCCAGAACACCATTCCCGGGCCACATTTTGAATGCCCGGAGCCAACCGACTGCCGCTGATGTTGCCACTGCGACTGCCACTGCGAATCCGAATGCGACTGCGAGAACACCAGAATTCTACAACAGCGCTCTTACATGAATACCGCAGGCAATGTTTCCAGCTATGCTTCTACACATCGCTGTTCGGTTGCTTTGCCGGGATACTATCATTTCTGATTGAGCCCGTCTTGTTTCAATCCATCGGTTGTATGTTCTAAAGACATTGTTTTGTTATTAGAGAATTTCTGGGTTCCTGGAAAATTTCGTGGTAGGCCTATAGGAATGCCGGACGGTCGGTCTGAACTCAAAGTTCCTAGTACCCCAACTGCTCCGGATCTCAGTCGGGCGGTCTCCGAGCAGGTCGATCGCCAGCGCGAAAGAACGAGGACAGCGCAACACACCCCCACCCGCAGCCAGGCCCCCCTTCCCGGCCTGGTGAGCCGGGCGGTCCCTGCTGGGGTTTTGAGCGTGCTTTTGTGGCCCCGAAAGGCCCCCCGCCAGAACCGCCCGCACCCCGGCCAGGGCCCCCCTGGATCACTAGGTCGGCGTCGGGAGCGGGGGACCTGTCTGGGGGTGGGGGTGGGCCGTGCTGTCCTCGGAGCAGGACGCCTCCCAGAGCCTCCCTGGCGCCTGCACCGCCTCGCGCCCTGCGCACCCCCCTCTCTTCGGACGCGCCCGCGACTCGCGAAGCAGTTTCCGACGGCCGGTTGACGCCTCTCGGGGCCTTCGCCGGGCCCCGGGGCCGTCCGGGAGCGACTGTCGGGCCGAAGCGCGGGCGTCCTGGAGGGCGCGGCGGCTCCTCGCGCTTCGCGGGTCTGTCCCGATTCATCATCGCACCCTCTTCTTTTCCCTGGGAGGCGGCGCGAGAGCGCGAATGTTGTTCGCGTTTCGCGCTTCGCGCTTCGCGCAGCGCACAGCGCGCAGCGCGCAGCGCGAAGTGAGGCGCCCTTGGGAAGGGGTGTCGTCGTTAAAAAAAAACACGGTTCGGGCGTCTAGGCCTTTTTCGACGTCGCCGTCCTGTCGTGACGTGGTCTCTCGGGGATCTCGACTTTCGCCACGGGTAATTATGCAAAGGTAAGGAATGTTTCACGCAGGCCGACGAGAATCGCAGGTTCAGGGTTTAGGGTTTGGGGGCGGCCTCTTCAGACGGCTCGTGAGGAGGACCCCCGCCCTTGGGGGTTTCCCCTCAGGGGTGCCGCGCCTGTGATGGCAGGAGAACCCCCGAACAAAAACGGGATCAACTCCCGAATGTTTTTTTGTTTCTGGGGTTCCTCCCCCGTGGAGCCTGGGGTGGCCGGAGATCTTGCGACAAAAAATTCCCCAGCGGCCAGCTGTGCATCCCGAGCCCTTTTGCAGCCGCTGCCAGGGCCAGGGGACGGCCTCCAGAGGCTGAACACGTCCAACCTCCAGAGGCCGAAGAACAAACTTTGGCGGCACACCGTCCCGGAGCGTTCTGGAGCGCTCTCAGAACAGGCGATCGCAAACATGGATCCATGGGGTCGTGGATTAGCGACGGGTCCCGTTTCCATGGGAGATCGCGGAGTTCCGCCGTCGGGGACCGCGCGCCGAATCCATGGATCGCTACAGTCGGGGCGCTGAGCAGGGAGCCCTTTTCGTTGGGGAGGGGCGCCGTGCTCCTCAATTGTTTCGCAGCTTGCCTGAGGTCGTCTTTAGGTCTTCGATGGGGAATCGAAGGTTAACTTTATGGAAGAAAGAGGGCCTCGTTCCTTGTCTAGGGTTCCTTCGGTCAACGCCCCGACTGCAGTCCGAGCCCGCGCGCCCCTTGTCGGAGCGTGCTTCCGCGCGGCGGCCGCGGCGCGCCCGACGGCCTCCAGAGCAGACAGAGATCTCACACGTCCCCGAGTTTGTCCCGGAGGGGGGGGTTCTCCGAAGGGCTTAGGCGGCCCGTCCTCCTCCTCCTCCTCCTCCTCCTCCTCTTCCTCCTCCTCCTCCTCCTCCTCCTCCTTTTCCTCCCCCTCCCCCTCTCTCCTCCTCCTCCTCCTCCTCCTCCTCCTCCTCCTCCTCCTCCTCCTCCTCCTCCTCCTCCCCCTCCTCGTTCCTTCTCCTCCTCCTCGTCCCTCCTCCTCCTCCTCCTCCTCCTCCTCCTCCTCCTCCTCCCCCTTCTCCTCCTCGGGTCGCCCACGCCCCGGGGGGACACCGTGCATGTCTGGGTCCTGGCCTTGCTTTTTGTTGCCCGCACCAGAGTCTCGGTCACATCGACAGCACCGGCCGCCGCGATGTTTCTTTGCGTCGCCCAGCATCGCCAGCCCTCTGGGGGCCTCCCTGGGTCAAGTCGGGCGTGTCCCTCTACGGGGCGAATCTTCAAAAACGGTCAACAAATAGTGAAGGGACGATTTTTCGATTATTTTTGGGCCGTTTTTGAACATTTTTGGAGTATTGTTTCATTTGTCGTCCAAAATCCGCCTGTAGGGGACACACCCGCTCTCATCCTCGGGCCGTCAGAGGGACATGCCTCCAAAATAATCCGCCTGTAGGGGGACATGCCCGACCTACCTCTTGGCCCCCAGTGAAGGCCTCCTAGATGGGGTCCGAGTACATGAGGTCGGAGGATCGCGCCGCATCGCCGATGCATCGGCGATGCGGCTCCATGAGGAGCCCGATTTTCGCCACGCAAGCGTCGCCGATGCACCGCCGACGTCGCCGATGCATCGCCGATGCGGCGCGTTCCTCCTACCCCATCTACCTGGACCCCATCTGAGGGGCCTCTATCTTTCAGTCGGGCGTGCCCCTCTACAGGAGGAATCTTCTTAAGCATAGTTCGGGGATCGTCCAACATCCCCTTGTGGAGGGACACGCCCGACGTAACTCTACCTTGGCCCCCAGTGACGGCGCCGCGGGGAAGCTCGTGGCCGCGTCGGGGAACCACACGCCCTACGACCTCATGGCCTTCCAGGAGGGCCCGCCCGCCCCGGGGGGGGGCGCCCGCGACCCGCGGGCCTCCGCGCGCCCGCGGTTCCTCCTCTTGCTCACTCCTCCTTCTCCTCCTCCTCCTCCTCCGCCGCCTCCTCCTCCTCCTCCTCTTCTTCCTCCTCCTCCTCCCCCTCCCCCTTCCCGTCCCCCTCCCCTCCCCCTCTCCCTTCTCCTCCTCCTCCTCCTCCTTTTCCCCCCTACCCCTCCTTCTCCTCCCTCCTCCTTCTCCTCCTCCTCCTCCTCTTCTCCTCTTCCTCCTCCTCCTCCTCCTCCTCCTCCTCCTCCTCCTCCTACGACCCCACTCGCGCCACATGAATCCACGACTCCGAACGACGCTGGGCAGCTCTAAACCGATCGAGCTAAGCATTTCCCACGGGGGGATCAGCCTCGGGGATGGCCTACCAGAGGCCGAACGCACCGAGGGCGGAACGCCGCCAGAGGACGGCTACGGGCCCACGGGGCCCGAAGCGGGGGAGGGGCCCGAAGCTGATCCCACCCGTCGGGAAAGCCCAACCCCCCGCCCGCTGGCGGCCCGCGCGGGCCGCGGGGCGCCTCCACTCTCACCTACTTCTTGCCCAACAACTGCTTGGCCATGGGCCCCCTCGGGACCTTGCCCACCTTCCTGGAGCCGCCCCACGCGCGCAGGATCGCGCTGAGGGCGTGCTGGAGCTCGACGAGCTTGGCACCCTCGGGGACCGCCGGCGTCTCCAGCGGCGTCCGCTGGAGAACCTCCTCGAACGTGTCGTCCGTCGGGGCGCCTCCCCAGGCCTCCCGCTGGGCCTTGTTCAACCTCTCCACGTGTTTGCCTGCTGTTGCGACGAGCACGTGTCCTCGAATACTCATTGTCAATCTCACCTTCTTCACGTCGTACATCGGTCGACGAGCCGAAATCCTTCACATCAGTAATTTTGGGTCTCGGAGCCCACAGGGCGGTTTTTCATGTTTTCCATTCGACGTTCCATGAAGCCCGATGTCATTCCGAGGCCGCGCGTCGAACGTTTTCGATGGCGCGTCGCGTTATGCGATGTCACGTGCGTTGGGGTCGTCAAAGGCTTGCGTGCTTGTTGCGGATCGGTTGATGTGGGCTGGGGTTTCTCAGGATTGTACATTTGCTTTGCGCTGGGGCGGTTTCGACCCCCATCCCTGGCTGATCCACCCCGCGGGTAACGTCGCAGGAAGAGTTCGATCATTTCGTTCGTAGTGCCAGCGATGCTGTCGCGGACATTGACCGCGCCACGGGGGGGGGTCGTCCAGAAATTCCCTACCAGATTGCAGTGTTGGTTCTTCGTTTTGAAGAGACACCGCCCCGCGTCATTCCTTCGGCCCCCTCCCTCGTCCTCCCTCTTCGCGTATCTGCCCCTGCTCTCCGCGTGTCCCCGTCGTCATCGTCCATCGTCATCGTCGCCATCACCATCATCATCAGCATCATCAGCATTCTCGTCGTCTCCATCATCAATACCACCACCATCCTCATCAACATCATCAAACCACCCCCCTTGTTCCCCCGCGTCTCTGTTTCGCCACATTCCCCGCAAGTCTCGTGGCCTTGTGAGGTGCTCCACCGAAGGCCCCATCGGCAGGGTCCTTAGTGCGCCGCCCAGCCCATGTCGGCCCGCCCCTCAGACGCTTCGTGTCTCCATGAGGAGCTCATCGGAGGTCCCGGCGGCAAGGTCCACATGCCGTCGCCCAGGCCACATTGATGACACCCTCAAACATTTCGTGCCCCTATAGGCAGCTCCACCAAAAAAAGGTCCCAGCGGCAGGTTTCCCAGGCCGCCGCCCAGCATATTTCGGCATACGTTTCACACGCTTCGTGGCCCCACGGGGAGCTACACCGACGGCCCCACAGGCAGGGCCCACAGGCCGCCGCCCAGCCCATTCCGTCATACGCTCAGAAGCTTCGTGGCCCCATTGGGGAGCACCCCCGATGGCCCAAGCGACAGGGTCCACATGCCGTCGCCCAGCCCATGTCGTCCACGAGTGGCGCCCAGCACGGCTCCAAGAGCGCCCCAAGAGGCGCCGAGTAAGTTGCACCCTCATGCAAATAGTTTTTGTCACTTGTGGGGGTCCTCTTGGGGCCCTCTTGGAGCATTCTTGGGGCCCTCTGGGAGCGTTCTTGGGGCCTTCCCGGGGCCCCAGTGGGCCCTCGGAGGGCCCCAAGAACGTTCCCCGAGGGCCCCAAGAGGGACCCCCCAAAGTGGTACAAAGAATTCGCGCGAACGTGCAATCTGTTGTAGGCCTTTCGGGGCCCTCTGGGAGCTCTCTTGGGGCCCCCATTGGTGGCGCCTTGGGGCCTTGGGATGGCTCCAAGAGGCTTCGGGATTGCCCCAGACCGCCACAAGACAGCTCCGAGACGGCCGTCGAGCACCACGGGTGAAAGCAAGTGAGGCTAGGGAACAGGGCCTCTGGTAAGCCGCCACTGCGCCCCCTGGACTACCCAGACAGCGAGGGGACCTGAAACGCCCTGGGGCTCCAGGGGCCCCAGATTAGTGAAGTGAAGGTTTTTGCCATGCAAGCACCCCGAAATTCTTCACTTCACTAAACCGGACCCAGGACGAACTCGCTACGCTCCAGTCCCGCGGGAGATCCGAGACTCCCGCCGCCGCCCGGGGACGTTGCTGCATTGCGGTGCTCTGGTCACTGTTAATGGCTTCCGCGGGCTGCAGCGGCTCACTTCCATGACTACCCCGACTCACGAATCCAGTGGTTGGTCTGGCTCTATGGGTTGGTTTCGTTGTGTCGGTTGATTTTATGCTTGGTTGGCGGTCGGTGGATTTCGCGTTGTTCATTGGTGTCGTGAAGTGATTTGTCGTTTGGTTGGTCAGTGCCGTTTTGTTGATTCGTGCCGTTTTGTTGGTTGGTGTCGTTTCGTTGGTTGGTGTCGTTTTGTTGCTTGGTGTCGTTTTGTTGCTTGGTGTCCTTTTGTTGGCCGGTGTCGATTTGTTGGTTTGTTGGTTGGTGTCGGTTTGTTGGTTGGTGTCGTTTTGTTGCTTGGCGTCGTCCTGGCGGCGTGGCCGATAATCGGCGGCCTGCAATGGCGCCAGGATTTGTTTCGGGCCAGCCTTGATCGCCCTCATCATTCTCATATTCGTCAGCGTCAGCACTCGTCGCCCCCATCCGCGCACACATGCGGCCCTGGTACGGCTCTCACGCGGCCCTGCGAAGGCCTTCACTGTGCTCCCCAAAGCTTTCTGAGGGGCCCCCCAGAGGCCCCAAGAGGGCACTGGAAATTGTCGCTTCCAACTCCGCCAGGCGGAGGTCAACAAGGGTCTCACTGGTGCACTTCCAGGAATCGTCGTTCGATCCTCTTGGGGCCCTCCTGGGGCCTTCTGGGGCCGTCTTGGAAGCTCCGAGCGGCTCCATGAAGGCGCCGGGCGATATCGCTTCCAATTCCGCCAGGTGGAGTTAGACCAGGGGCTCACTGAGGCCCCTTTTTGCGCCCTCCTCTGCCTTTGAAAAAGCCCCGATGGGGTTCTTCAGTGCCGTCTTAGGGCCCCTAAGAGGCCTCCAGCAGGGTATTGAAGTTATCGCTTCCAACTCCGCCACGCGGAGTTGAACCCAGGGCGGCTCTCTATGGCCCTTTCGGGGCCTTCTTAGAGCTTTTCTGAGGCCCTAAGTGGGCCCTGGGAGGTGTCATTTTCACGGGCGTTGAAAGTGACACCGCGGAGGGCCCTCTTGGGCCCTTCTTGGGGCCTCTCTTGGGTCCCTCTGGGAGCCCTCTTGGTGCCGCCCTGGGGCCTTCTCGGGGCCTTCTTGGAGCCTTTCTGGTGCTCTTTAAGTGGGCCCTGGGAGGTGTCACTTTCACGGGCGCTGAAAGTGACACATCGAAGGGCCCGCTTTCCCTCGTAGCGCTGCCCGTGGCCGGGGCATTGTGCAGCGCATCCCTCGTCGAACGTATTTTGTCGGACGCGTGGTCGAATTCCGCCAGTTCGGTCGAGATGGTGGTCAAGCGGTTCGGTTGCAATGTAGCCATGCGGATCTGAGCTTACCATTTCTTGCCATTTTGGCGGGGATCGCAGGAGCGTTTGTGTTGTGATCAACTGTGCTCGATATATCCAGCGGCAGCGTTTCATCCCAATATATTATTTTGAAAAAAGTCAGCAGGGGCCAAATTGCTGATGTGAAGCAACATAGGTCTCGTAATCGGGCTGAATGTAAAATCCTTGATCCACTCACTGGCGTCCTCGCTCTTGCCATGCTCGAGCATGCTGCGCACTCTCGTCGGCAGGCCTACGTACTTCTTGACCTCGGGCGAAGAAGCCTCTGCCAACCAACTCTCGATATCGTTCAGAGCCCTCGAAAACAGCTGGAGCTCTGGCGGCCCGCGCTCGTGCTGGGGCCCGTCCTTCTTCACCTGCTCGAGGTAGGACTGGTACTGGGCCTGGCAGCTCACGACCAGGGGGTGGTCCGCAGGAAGATGGACCTGCGTCATGGTGTAATGCTCCTGCGTCCTCATGCGCGCCTCGAGCTGGACCAGCATCTTCTTGGTGACCACGTCGTCCGACTCTTTGGACTTGCCGCGCTTGGGCTCCTTCTCTCCCGTCTGCTGCGCATCTCCCGTAATCAGCCGCGACATCCAGCTCGAGAAGATGGCCGTCGAGATGCGCGGCCAGATGGGCACTAAGAATGTGTTGCCTCAATGCTTGAGGCTCATCAGCGGCAAATTCACATAGTCGGCATCGAGTCGTTTGCATTTTGACGAACGCCGACGATCGAGATCTGTCAACACACATCCCACGCTCCACTGCCGCACTCATGTGTTTCTGCGCCTGCGCATAAAAACAGAACACTGCACCACATATCGTGCACTCATTACTGAAGCAGCACGCTCGAAATAAGACCTGTCGCCCGTGGGTTTCTCCACGCGCGTGCACATAGTGTGAAGCAAGACGTGTCTTGTCCACGAAGCGCGCCTGGCACGGATTACCCTCATCATTCACCGCCCAGCATTGGTATAATCCTCCTTCCTCAAGCTCACCTCGA